AGGAAGGAGCTCTGGCTCTCAGAAAGGCCAGCATGTGATACTTCATTCACATGTCTCGGAGTCTTTTGAACAGGAAAGGCATTTTTTAGAAAATGCCTTCCTACAGCACTGAATTTCCTTGGATAAAATAAACTTCATGGGGCCACATGCAAATTCTCTGTGTTGCTGGATAGAATGAAGTACTGACTAACTCAGCATTATGTGAAGCATTCTAAATCAAGGAATATGGAAGTGCTTAAAAGCCGGTGGGGCCATACCTTACAACTTAAAGCTGGTGGAGGAAAAGACAGAGTCCAGAACAACACAACACAAAATAAACAGTGCCACTGTCTTCCTCAAGCTCATGTTTGGGCCAACTACACAGACCAATCACAAGTAAGGCGAGGACCAGCAAGCTGACTTCATGGATAAAGATACTCGCTACCAAGCCTGAGAGCCTCACTTTGCTTCTCAGAATCTACATGGTGAAAGGAACGAAGTGACTCGCCCTTGTCCTTTAACACTGAGGAATGTCTGTGCCTCAACCCAAACAAAATAAATAAATGAATAGCTTTGCTGTTGTTGTTTTAAGGATCAGCAGGTAGAGACACCTGCCACCAGGCCTGACAAAGCTAAATCCCCTGAGACATGGTTGGTGAAAGGAGAACTGACCCCAGTAAGTTATCCTCTAACTTACCCACACACAAGTAAGTGCACACATACACACCTATGCACAAAAACAAATAAATATACTTTTAGATATAATTTAAAAAGTAATGTTGCACTCTGTCTTCCATCCCACTCTGAAAGAGGCATCAGGAAGTATAGAATACAGGTGAAGATGAATCAGTTGTTCTATATAGAGCCCCTTTATATACCTACACCAGAACCATGTATTTCAAGTGTGGACAGAGCAATGTCTTCACATGAATCCTGGCCACTAACTCTCCAGAGGGAAATGACAGCTATCCAACACATGAACAATTTGCCAAGCTAAAAGGTTCTGTGAGTCACCCACCGGAGTCATCCTCAGTGTCTGAGTCCTCTGCAGAGGGCTGTGATGACACCGGCAGCTCCACCAGCTTGAGGTCATACTTTCCTTCTTTTCCCATCCTGTATGAGTTAGTGCTGCCTGTGTCCCACTGGACCCTGATCCAACCATCCTCTCCCAGCTCACCAATTACACGGCCTAAGCCTGGCGGAGGCCCATCCTAAAAAAAAACAAAAAACAAAGACCAGGTAAGAGAGTATGTCCTATTCTGGACCTACCATGGTTCCTGCATTAATTCTGTACACTGATTTTCTGTCAGCCTCCTCCTGATCCAAATATAGCTGAAAAATGTACAGATTATATCATTCATTTATTTTGGTGGGGCGGGGTGGAGGGATAGAGACAAGGTTTCTCTGTGAAGCCCTGGATGTCCTGGAACTCGCTATGTAGAGATCTGCCTGCCTCTGCCTCCCAAGTGCTAGGATTAAAGGCGTGCACCACCACTGCCCAGCAATCACATCATTTTTACATTCCATGAAATCGCATGCTCATTTTCCTTTACCAAAGAAATATGAGGAAAGGAGAGAATTCTCTCAACTTGGTGATTCTCTGAACAAATGTGTTAAGGAGTGTCCCAGCAATCAAAGTGGTCTTTCCAATGACCTCAATCACTTCCTAAGAGTAGGAACCTAGACCCAAGAGCAACATTGTGTCAACCATTCCAAAGAGAAAGCTGCTGATAGGATGCTATTACCTCCTCTCAGACAATTTCATTTCTAAAAACACTGACAAAAATTCATGCTCAGCTGTGCAACTGAGAAAATATGCATGACATCCTAGGAAAGGAAAATACTGTCCTAATGTCTTTTACCTCTATTTTATTGCTCAGAAATCAACAGCTAAGTCATCTATCAATCTTACAGATCCTGAGTTCAGGCAGCCACCTATTCTAACTTCCACTGATTGCTATGTTAGATGTGCTAAGATGTTAATGAAATATCTGAATACCTGGTCACCCCACTTCCAATCCACGCCTCTCATGACTCTGGTTCCAATCTTCATCATAGCAGCCAGTTCTGGCCCTGAAACAGGGAGCTGAACAGGAGCAGTTTCCTTTCTTGTTTCTTCCAACACTGTAGCAGAGGCTCCCCGGGCAGAAGCACACATATCTTCCTCAACATTGTCACAAGTAGGACCTATCAGAACATCAAACAACAGCTGAGCTTATAATTAGCTGCAATGTCCTATTTTTATTATTTTTTAAAGTTGTGTATAGATTACTTATGTGTAAATTACATTTCTGAGTGTGGGACTGTACATGTGGGTACAGTGGCAGCATGAGGCTAAAAGAGGGTATCAGATGTCCTAGAACTGGAGTTATACGCAGTTGTAAATTACCAAATATAGGTGCTGGAAACTAACTAAATTCAGGTCCTCAGCAACAGTGGTAAGTGATCTTTTAACAGCAGAGCCATCTTTCCAGCCACCAATGTCCTATCTTTATTAAGTTTTTGTTTCGTCTTTCTTTCTTTCTTTCTTTCTTTCTTTCTTTCTTTCTTTCTTTTTTTTTTCTTCAAGACAGGGTTTCTCTGTGTAGCCTTGGCTGTCCTAGAACTCACTCTGTTAACCAGGCTGGTCTCTGCCTCCGAGTACTGGGATTAAAGATGTGTGTCACCACCACCCAGCCCAATGTCTTATTTTTAATAGACACATCAGCATATGTGGTGACACATCATATAATCCTAACACTAAAGAGGATCATGAGTTCAAATCAGACTGGTCTACACAGGACCCTGACACAGACAGACACACATATAAACAGACACAAACACATACATACACATACAGAGAGAGAGAGAGAGAGAGAGAGAGAGAGAGAGAGAGAGAGAGAGAGCACAAAGATCAAGAAGAACTGATTAACACCAAATTTAAAGAACTTAGACCCAGACTTTCTCCCCAACTCTATTCCTTTGTGTCAGCCTCCAATACCCAAAGACACTCTCCACCTGAGAACTCACTGGCCTGGGAACCCAGTAGGTGATCTTAACTCTTCCTCCTTTCTTCTATTGCAAATTCATCAGTCTCATCCCCAGCCCTGAAGCAGACCACCTGAAAAGACCTGGCCATGCTTTTTAACTGTATTCTATGTTGAACCTCATGACAGACGCAGCTTTCCTCCTTCCTGTGGACCCACTCAGTCTCCCCCATCTAGCTCATCCCCTTTCATTCATATCGGCCCCCAATACCAAGGAATAGGTTCTACCCAGGACCTCAGTGGCCACACCTGGTAGGAACTCAGAAAGCCTAAATGGATGTAAAAATAAAAATTAAAAATTCAGGATATCAAACCAAAACCTCAGAGGTAAACCTCACCAACAGAGTAAAAAGGATATTAGAGAGAATCTCAGACATTAAAGACAAGATAAAAGAAATGGATACCTTGGACAAAAAAAAAAAAAAGAAAGAAAGAAGGAAGGAAGGAAGGAAGGAAGGAAGGAAGGAAGGAAGGAAGAAGGAAGGAAGGAAATCGAAAAACATCCAAGCACAAAACATCTAGGAAATTCAGAACATTATGGAAAGATCAAATCAATGAGATCAATGAATAAAAGAATAGAAGAAGAAACTCAGACCAAAAACATAGAAAATATTTTCAGCAAAATCATAGAAGAAACGTTCCCCAACCTAAAGAAGGAGGTCCTTACCAAAGTTCAAAAGCATGCAGAACACCAGATAGAATAACCAGAAAAGAAATTCCCCAGGACACATTATAACAAAACACTAAATGTACACACACACAAAGAAAGAAAGAATATTAAAAGCTCCAACAGAAAAAAACAAAACAAAACAAAACAACAACAACAAAAAAAGTAACATATAAAGGCAGACCCAACAGAATAAAACCCAACTTCTCAATGGAGACTAAAATCCAGAAAGGTCTGAATCAATGTTCCACAAGCTCTTAAGAGACCACAGATGTTAGCCCAAACTACTAAGTAAAGCCAGAAATGGCTACAGGAAAAATACTCCCCATGGGGGAAAAAAAAAAAAGGAACTATTATAAACTACTTTATAGCTGGACGTTGGTGGCACACGCCTTTAATCCCAGAACTCGGGAGGCAGAGACAGGTGGATCTCTGTGAGTTTGAGGCCAGCCTGGTCTCCAGAGCGAGTGCCAGGATAGGCTCCAAAGCTGCACAGAGAAACCCTATCTCCAAAAAGCCAAAAAAAATCAAAAAAAAAAAAAACACAATAAACTACTTTATATATACCAAGAAACAAAAATACCCAGATGAAAAAGTCCTAGCAACATACAAATTACACCTGAAGTGACTCAGAAGGAACAGAAAATCCACACAGATCTATAATAAAAAGATACGGAATCACAAAGAAAAGTGCAAGCCATAAGGCTTAACAGGTGAATTCTATCAAACATTTAAAGAAAAACTAACAACTCTAAAATTCTTCTAAAAGCAGAACATTAGAGGACACTTCCTAATCTGTTCTATTTAGTCTTTACTATCCTGGAAAGTGTCAAACTCTAAAATACTGCTGAAGGAAATTAAACCTTTAACAGTAAATATATTTGTATTCGTAGAATGGAAGTCAATACTGTTACAATGGAAATAACCCCAGGGTGATCTACAGACTCAACAGCATCCTTAAAACAACTCCAAGACCTTTTACAGATATACTAAAAACCAGCTCTAAAATTCCACAGAGAAATGCAAGTGAACCAAAAAACCAAAACAATCTCTAGGGGAAAAAAAAAGTCAGAAGACTAACAGTCTCAACTTCAAAATTCACTACAAAGCTATGGTGTTCAAACAGTACAGGGTCAACACAGTAATAATAAGCACATGAAGCAATTGAACAGAAATGGGAGTCCGGTCAAATGGTTTTCCAAGGGTACCAAGACAATGGGGGAAAAGTTTGCAACAAATGGTACTGAAGTAAATAAGTAATAAAAAAAATTTAAAATCCAGGCTATGTGAATGTATAAAATGTTTACCTACAAGTACAGAAGACATGCTTGCTTTGGCAGTAAATATACTAAAACTGTAACAATACAGAGAAGATTAGTAGGGCCCCTGATCAGGAATGACCCACAAATTTGTAAAGCATTAGTATTTTTAACATCTGTCATACAACTGTACCTGAGGCTCAGGGAAAGCTGAGTAAGAGGGCAGAAATATTGTAAAAGCCAAAGGAACAAGAAGTCTGCTGTGAGATGGCACATCCTAGGAAACTCGGGAAGCCTGGACAAGGCTGCTGCCTAACCCCAGAGGAAGAATTAAGGAATACAGAGAGTGGGAGACAGTCTTCCCAGAGAAGCGCCCACAATTCCTTACACAATACCAAATGGTCAGCCCTGAAATCCTATACATACAAGTATCATTATACAGACTGAACAGGTTGTCTTTATATTCTTAGAAATATATGTATGGGGGAGTGTATGTGTAACAACAATTAAAGAAAATGCCAATGAATTTGAAAAAGAGCACAGAAGGATACATAAGAGGGGTTGGAGAGAAAAAAGATAAGGGGGAAATTATATGATTATATTTTAATTTATAAAATGTACAAAAGACCTACACATAGGAGCTAATAACAGTAAAATCTAAAGAAATAATAGATAATTTTCATCTGCCTTAGTCTTGGCAACAGCTTCTTGGTAATGACAGAAGACTGTAAGAGCCAGAGGAATAGGAAGAAAAATGACTAGGTGGACCATCAAAAAGAAAAACTGCATCAAAGGGAAATAAAATCCACAGGACAGGAGAATTTATCCTCAAATCATACAACATCTGTCAAAAATCTATAAATTTGCAAAAGTCTAGCATCGAGGGAATTTTTGGAAGAGCTTGAGGATTATTAACTCATCTTTAAATGTTTGATTCAATCTGTGATACTTTTTTTTCTTCTTTTTGGTTTTTTGAGACAGGGTTTCTCTGTCTAATAGCATTTGCTGTCCTGGAACTCACTTTGGGATTAAAGGGATGTGCCACCACACTGGCTTAAGTAGTACTTTTAACTGGTACTCCTATTAACTCAGTCACAAAAAGACAAAGAATCCAATTCATCAAAAGAAAAAAGAAAAACTGGGGGCTGGAGAGATGGCTCAGTGGTTATGAGCATTTGACTGTTCTTCCAGAGGTCCTGAGTTCAATTCCCAGTAACCACATGGTGGCTCACAATCACCTATAATGGGATCAGATTCCTTTTTCTGCTGTGCATGAAGACAGAGCATTCATATACACAAAATACATGAATAAATGTATGTCTTTAAAAAAAAAACTTGCAAAGGACATTTCTGTAAGATGTAAACAGACAACAATGTCATTTATCATTAGTTGAAAGGCAAACAAAAAATCACTAGAGAGAACTTCACACTCAGTGGAAGGCCTTAATCAAAGCACAACAATAAAGCTGCCAAAGGTCCAGACAAGAGAGGACTTGCATGTGGGGAGCCAGTGTACAACTCAGTGGAGGGTCTTGCAGCATCAATCACTCAAAGTGGGACAGGCATATCCCTGGGCAGAAGTTCAGCAGGAGGCAATACATTAATATTTACATATGGCAAATCTTGTGCCCACACTCTGGAGGCAGGCAGGGAATCTCTGTGATCATGGACTTCCAGGCCAAGCAGAGCTACATAGAGAATATCTTTTTTTTTTTATAAAAGCACATGAGAGAAGCCAATTATCAGAAAAACGAGAAATCTCTCCCTACTAAGACTACATGTAATACAGCATTGTGCAAAAGTTGCAAACTGTAAGACTATCCTTATTTGCCCAGTACAGGTGCCATTCACACTCTTACATTCCCCAACATTATGGCTCACTAGTACTCATTACAGCTCAAAAATACTTTCTTAATAAACTATTTGGTTTCTCTCATCTGTATGTTCCTACTATGAGTTCTTGTTCCAGTTATTAAATAACCTGGAAATACCAGTGGGTGCCCTCCAAAATCCAGTATCCACCTGTAACATTACCACCTGACCTCAGTATTCTACTCCTTTTATAATCAAAACCAGAAATAGATTTACATACAAACATACCTAGCAAAACTACTCACTAAAGTAAAATGATAAGATAACCCAACTGCCCCTAAATGTATAAATAAGATGTTCAATATTCAAATAATAACATTCTATCCATGAAAAGGAATGAAATACTGGCATACACTAAATCCAGATACAAAAATCAAGAAATGACATGACTGCACTTACATGAAATCCTCAAAAAGTGTAAATCCACTGAGGCAGAAAGCAGATTTGTCGTTACCAGGGACAGGAGGGTGGGGTAATCAAGAGTGATTGACAAATAGGTTTAAGATTTGCATTTGTGGTTATGAAAATGTTCTAAAGTAAGACAGCAGTAACAACTGCTCAAAATGTGAATGTCCCCAGTGGGTATGGTGGTTCACTGCACTCAAGAGGCAGAGGCAGGAGGATCTCTGTGAGTTTGAGGCCAGTTTGAAGCAGAGCTCCAGGCTAGGCAAGGGTATATATAGTGAGATCCTGTCTTTAAAAACAAGGTCAAAGAGAAAAGAAAGAAAAAAATGTGACATCCCTAACATTGCTCAGTTACACTCTGCACAATTAAAAGGCTAGCTTTATGCTGTGTGTGTGTGTGTGTATGTGTGTTTATTGCTGTTGTTAAGGAGAAAAGGTAAAAGCCATCTTTTTCTAAAGGATCCAAAGCCAAGGCCAACCTACCGATCAGCCTCAACGCCGTCTGTGTGAGGGCCAGTGTGCCTGAGTTGAGCAGGAGGTCAAGGTTGTTTGCACCATGCTGCAGGGTGAGCATGCTGAGCATCACCAGAAGAAACCGAGCTTGTGGGATGGTCCCCAGACTTGGTCCTGCCAGATTCTCATTGGTAATCGTTTGGAGGGGGACAGGTTGAATACCTAATAAGCATTGACATTTATTTGAATTTCTTAGTTATGGGCACAATGCACATGATTCTAAACACTGTGGATTTGGTTATTAATTACTTATTCATTTATGTAACTTCTTTTGGAGGGGATTTCCGCTATTTTATTTTGTTATATTCTCTCCATCAACATTCCACATACTTGCTATCTCTGTCTTCAAGATATAGTACAAAAGGGGAAAAATTAACTCAGTTTACTGACAACTTCTAGTACAATTATCACCATAAGTGTAAAAGTGAATTCTGTAATAATGACATCTATATTTGAGGGAGGATGCTGAGCTTTTCCTGGTTATACTGTCTTCAAAAATTCAACTAGAGATCCTGAAGAGGTTGCCAGCAACCTCAAAGTAGTGACAATTTAGAGTTAGGAGTGCTGGCACACACCTTTAATTACAGGGCTCTGGAGACAGATGCAGGTAGAGCTCTGTGAGCTGGAGGCCAACCTGGTCTAAATTTTGAGTTCCAGGCCAACAAAGGGTACATAGTGAGACCCTGTCTCAAAAACCAAATGAAACAGAACAAAAAATTCCAAACAAATGCCAATTTAAAAGTTTAGGGACAAAAAAGAGTTTGGGGATGAGTACCCCAAAGTGTGGCACTCCCTACAAGTAGCATATTTTCTAACTATCTTTGGGTGTCTTTCACTTTAAATACCATAAAACTAATCTTGCCATTTCTCTACAAATGCTCAGACTATCTAGGAGATCAGTATTAGTACAGGACACTGGTACCCTAAAGTATATAGTATAGTGCTCATAAAAATGCAGCTTAATTTATTTTTATTAAAATATTTTGGGATTATATCTTTTGCCAAATGTTCAAAGTACTAGTATGAATCTAAAAATAAAGCTAAAAGCACCTAAGATTGTTGTTCTGATGTACAAAGTTTCCACAAGTAAAAAGTAACTTTTATGTAAATTTCCACACTGTACACTTAAGATCAATGCCATGATACTGCTGCAACCACAATTGTTACCAAATTATCAGTTTTAAAATAAGGACTTTTAATTATGACTTTTTCTTTAGCTCACCCAGCTCTTTAAATTTGGCACTTGCATCCATCAGAACGTATCGAATATTCTGAACTGCCCAAGCATACAGCTTGCCAAAAGTCACTTCCAGCAGCATCCGATTAAAAGGTGGGATCAAATCGACATCCTTTAAACAGTCTGTAAGTGGTTCCCTTTCAAACAAAGAAGCAGAATTTGACTTGGGACATTGCCAGACTTTTAACTCAAAAGAACGGTAGTATATTGCCAAGATTCCCATACTTGAGAAAAATTTTATAAAGCTTTACCCTATATCAATTCCTTCAGGAATAAGTCTTTGCCATCCACAAAACATAGCATATTGCACAGAAGGAAGTAAGAAACTTTTGGCTGCCAGTTTCAGAATTGTATCTATCCCTTCCAGACGAACCTCTGCTCTCTCCAACTGCAAAACAGCAATGTTTACAGTCAGTGCTCTATCTGACTCAATGCACGGAATTGTGTCCCAGAAAGGCTTACCTGTTTCAGTAGGCACTTTCTCATTTTCTCCACATCTACCGGCTCTTCCTTAAGGGCAAATTCAACAATTGTACTGAGAAGAGCAGACTGTGGGTAAAGGCCCTGCACATTCTGCTTTAACCATTTGTATTTATGAACTCCTGTAACTGTATTCAACAGTGGTTGCCATTTATCCTAACAAAAAAGAACAACGTGCACCATTAGTTTAACCTGTTAACATGTACTCTAAAAGTTCTTTGAATATAAACAATTAATACCAACAGTTTTGATGTTCATTTTGCCATCAGTAGGAATAGGACCCAGAACTTTGCAACACAAGCTACAAAAGCAACCTGTCAGGCTGGGCATTGGTGACGCACACTGTTAATCCCAGCACTCAAGAGGCAGAGGCAGGAGGATCTCTGTGAGTTCGAAACCAGCCTGGTCTGCAAGAGCTGGTTCCAGGACAGCCTCCAAAGCCACAGAGAAACCCTGTCTCAAAAAAAAACAGAAAGGAAGGAAGGAAGGAAGGAAGGAAGGACAGACGGAAGGAAGGACAGACGGAAGGAAGGAAGGCAGGAAGGCAGGAAGGCAGGAAGGCAGGAAGGAAGGCAGGAAGGAAGGAAGGAAGGAAGGAAGGAAGGAAGGAAGGAAGGAAGGAAAAAGAAAAGCACCATGTCACTGATCTTTTAAATTGAGTAACA